AGATCAAAAAGGCTGGCCAGGGGTGGCATATTTTAAGGTGGCGGCATATTGTTCCATGAAATTCTATTTTTAATGCATCTATATTATCTACTTCAGGCAGGATGGATACCTCTCCAAAAGGGTGTGTTTGGAGGTTATTTTTGGAGTGGGTCTTCATAATGAGGCAGGAGGGTGAACGTGCATCCCGTTGCTGTTCGATCTTGTTATAAAAATAGTAAAGTCCCCTATCTGCTATAGCATAAAGCTCTTGTTAGGGGAAAAAGGAGTGACTTTAGGAGGCAGTTTAATTGTAAATGCAAAAGAAAAAAAGAGATGGGGCTTCTTTATACCCCATACCAGGGATTTTTAAACTGTGGGTGGCTGTCCCCACCCTCCAGAATGACAGATGAATGCATGTGACTCCCAGCTCACAAACCAAAGCAATGATTTCACTGGGTTTAAGGTTATAATAATGACATTTCAATTTCCCCAGGATCTGTTAGATCACACTCCTGCTTCACCCGGGCAAGTGCTTGCCCAGGCAGAGCAGGGTTGAGCGCTAGGAGGAATCCTGCCCTAGGTGTTCAAGCCCCCCACGCCGGTTTCTGACCCTCCATTTGAGAGCCCCTTTCACAAACCTAGGAATTGCTGGGCACTCTTGTCCTGTGAAAAGATTTTCAGCATTCCCACTGACGTAAGAGGATGGTCACAACTATGCAAAGCCCCCCCCCCCCTTATATGCATGTGACAGGTAAGAAAGGAGCAGGACATCAAGTTCAGTTAATGTAATTGTTCATAAGTAATTGTTAGTATATAAATAACATTGTAAGCCACTCAGAGTCACTTGTAAAACCAAGATGAGCGGCCATATAAATATGATGTAATAATAATAATAATAAAAATAACTGCGTGGTTGTGACCTCCATCGTGATGTTTTTGACCCCTTCTAGAGACCCATATCCCATATAATCCAATAAATAAAGTCTTGAATGCTGCCCAGAGTCATAATGGAGGTGGATGGGTGGATCGATGGGAGTTCTGCCCTAGCATTCCCAGCGGTATTCGTGGGGAGGGAAGGCCGGGGAGTGAGAGGTGACCTCACATACATTGCACAGAAGGCAGTTAGGTAATTTGCATGAGTTGCGCCACAGTGTAATGATTGTTTACAAGGCTTATAGCTACATTTCAGTTCCGTAAATGCTAAAGAATCAAAAACAC